TTATCATGCATCTTTATATTTCATATAAAATAATTAATACTTGCACAACTTATAACTAAACAAGGTGCATAGTTTGTATCACATATATTGCAACATCTTCGACATTTTAGTGTACACAATTTAAAGTAACAAATGATAATAATTAACACAAATTAATAGAATTATGAAGATACCATCATAGAAAATTATAAACACTTTCATAACTCATATAAGATTAGACAAACTACAGAGCTAATGAACACTTGCACAACTTCTAAAAGAATAAACAAAGAGCATAGCTTATATCACTTTGTCTAAACAAAGGTCGGAACTTATATCACTTTAGTTTATGATTGCCACATATATAAGAATCTGTTAAAAAAAAAAATGATCGCCACATATACAAGGTCTTAGATGGGAAATTTATAAGTAACAAACTGATAATGATAAAATTAAGAAGTTACCATTACAGAAAATTATGAACACTTGCACATCTCATAAAAGATTAGACACATTTCAGAGCTTATATAACCTATATTGACACATCCTATACGCTTAGAAGACAAGCTTATAAATAACAAACTGCTAAAAATTAACACAAAAATTTGGATTTAAGAAGCTATAATCTAACAAATTAAAGCTTATTGTTGCAAGGTGCCTACACGCCTCCCAACTGAATGATTAGCTCACACTGTAAATGCAGTGTAATTGCAAAAGCCAGTAGTTATGTATCTCGTACATTCTTTCACTACACAGTTCTGATGCAACCTCTTGATTCTTAATTACTCAATCATTGCGATTTTCAGAAATAATGGTGAAGATGCAAGTTGAATTTAATGGCAAAGCAACCACAGGGAGATCTCCAAAAAATCTTAGTGTTTCTGAACACTCCAGCGCATCATCATCATCTGTAACCAAAAGAAGTCATAAAAAAGAAAAATTGGTCCAAAGGAGACGTAAACTTATTCTTTATGACTTTGACAACTTACTCTTTTGTAAACAAATTTATGTACTTATTCCTACTCTTTAATCTTTGTTCTTCCAGTATCTGAACCACGGCAGCCTTGGCTACAAGAGAAATATCTACCACGCACACCAGCCCCCCCTATCGGACACCTATTAGCTAAAGCTCATCTTAATAGTGAGGGAATAAATCAGTACTTCTTCCACCACAAATCAATCAAAGCACTCAATCCCCTCACATGTGCCAATTTGCTTATGGAAAATACGATAAGGGTATGTATCTTTGTGGTTTAGTAATGTTGTCCAGAGGAAACCTCAAAGAAGGAAAATATTTCTTTGATATCCTTGACTAGGAACACACACTATCAAAATCCGATCGCTGCTGGAATAAGATTAAGAGGTTCAAGTACTTTGGATATCCGATCAGATTTCTTTGATACACTACTGCGGCAATGTTATCAAGAAACTTATGTTCGGGACAAGAACGTTCTCTGAAAACACTGCACCTGACGGTGGACCAACAGCAGAGGATATTGAGCATATGGAAGCTATGTTTGAAGCATTAGGGTTTAAGTTCGCCTTTTGTATCTCTGATTATCTACATATGCTCACGGGACTTGATCTTAACGGTCACGAGAATGGTGGCGTTTAAGATATAAACGATCAGTCTAGGATTGTTACTATTTTATGTATAAGATATAAACGAACAGTGTAGGATTGTTACTATTTTAAGAGGACGAAACTATAGATTATATTCCTTGAAACAACTTAATCACAAAACAAACACAACTATTTACATTTTTCATTCACAAACATGAACTTTACTTTATGTTTAAGTATTTACTAAATTAACTTTGTAAAGTCTATCAAATTTTTACTCTACTTTTATTTGTTTCGATTAATAACAACCACTTATGCTACTCCACTAATAATCAGAAAAGATCATTGTCTTCAACATAGTTACAACATCAAATTTCTGAACATAATCTCTTCACTAAAACCACAAAATAAATCGCAACTTTTTTTATAATAACATATATGAATCCGGCGCGTAGCGCCGGCACACCACTAGTATATATATATACGGATACATTAAAGTATTTATAAGGGAAACAAATATTTCAAAAGGAAATGTCACAAGTGTAATATTTGGAGTGAGAGTACATTTGTGGACCGCATCACCCCTTTGAAAATTTATTTGGCGATCTCTATGGGTCTGAGGTATTATGAGGTTTAAAAAAAAACTAGAGTTTCACCCGCACATCCGTGCGGGTATATTTTTTATTTTATAAATATATAACTAATTTTTTTTAATATAGGATTTATATTTTAGTTTTAATTATAATCATATCTAATAACGAAATAAAGAAATACTTATTTTATAAAAAATATATTTAAATTTTTTGGTAAGATCTTGTTAGATTTTTTCAACAGATTTTGTTATATTTAAATTTATTTATTATTAATGTTCTTATTAGTTGTTAAGATATTGTGAAAATCATATATATTTGACTGGTTAATGTAACAATAAAATATGTCAACTAAGTAATTAATAACATGGTCCATCATGACTTCTAAATAGTAGATAAATTTGGTACTTCTCTTTTAATAGATAAGATATTTATAGTTTTTACTGGATTTTCCAAAAGAAAAAAATGATCACGAGTACTATTTATTAAATCATTTTATTACTAGGATAATACCCGCGCCTTGCGCGGGATGAAATTATTATTTTTATTATGTTTTGGAAAATGAAACAAAAGTTCGGTTTCATCTAGATTAAGAATGTTCAATCTGGATATCGGGTTTCCGTATTTTGGTTATTAAAATATAGCTACTATTCTAAATCCATATTTACTTCAGTTTGATTTGGTTTATATATTGGTTTTTAGTTTATTCAATTTTATACCAAAATACATCATTATTTAGTTTGAAATCATATTACATATTATAAAATAAATAATATGATCATATTTAGAGTCATATTGTCAAAAAGTCATTTACTAAAAAAATATATTATATATTTAACTAAAAGAATTAAAAACAAAAAATGCTTCTATGATCTAATAAAATAATCAAATCTAGAATTAATATCAAATCTCTAAATTTTGAAAATAAAAATAAAAATAAAAACAAAACAGAAGCATGAAAGAAAAGTTTTTATATTCTTCCATATTTAGTGTTCATCAAATTAATATGTCTTCGATTGAACACAACTCTGTTTGTTTAAAGATTAAAAAAAAATTGTAAAGAATTTCAACTAATTGTTGTCCNAAATAAAAATAAAAATAAAAACAAAACAGAAGCATGAAAGAAAAGTTTTTATATTCTTCCATATTTAGTGTTCATCAAATTAATATGTCTTCGATTGAACACAACTCTGTTTGTTTAAAGATTAAAAAAAAATTGTAAAGAATTTCAACTAATTGTTGTCCATCAAATTTATAATTTTTACTTCAGTTTAGTTTTTATTTAAAAAAAAAAGATTAAAAAAAGACGAAAAAAATAAGAAGCCTCAGTTGCATTAAATTGTTAGTTAATTATATTTCAAGTGATTCAAGTGATTTACAAATCATAATTATAGTTCAACTTATGTAACAAATAGATATACATATTTACATGTTTCAGTTTAATCGATTATAAATCAAACCATATCCAAATCTTATGGTTTTTATAAAATCACATACATTCGGTTTGTATGGTATATACCAAAAATAATCATATTATCGACTGTGTTAATATCTTTAAAAAATAGAAAATTTTTAGAAAGAACTAATATATTTAAATCATTGATAACAAAAAATTTCAATGTGAAAAATTTTATACGTTTATAATTTATAAATGTTCTTGAAAATTCATTGAAATTTCTGAAATTAAAATAAGTATGTAATCTTATATGGTATATAGTTTAATATATATATATATATATATATATATATATTTTTTTATTATTGAATGATACTTTTTACTCATATGGTTTTATAATTATGTGTATCTTTTTATAATAAAAATGTTAAACTATTGATCAAAATGATCAAAAGATATATTCATATAATAAACGTTCTTGCCTTATAATAATTATTATATATAAGCTATTATAATAAACGTTTATAATAAACGTTCATATAATAATTTAATAAACGTTCATATAGTAAACGTGTAAGCTTTAAACGTTTATAAATAATAGATTGGGCCTCTTTATATCGTTCATTATTTTGTCAAAATGATCAAAAGATATATTCATATAATAAACGTTCTTGCCTTTACCATTAAGTATGTACTTGGTCACAAAGTAATTTCCATTTTACATATACACTTCCATAAATTAAAAGGAATGAAGTTATTATAGTTAATATATGCAAATCGTTATCAAATCGTATATTTTCCTTTTCTTCCATTACATGCGTGCGATNATTCATATAATAAACGTTCTTGCCTTTACCATTAAGTATGTACTTGGTCACAAAGTAATTTCCATTTTACATATACACTTCCATAAATTAAAAGGAATGAAGTTATTATAGTTAATATATGCAAATCGTTATCAAATCGTATATTTTCCTTTTCTTCCATTACATGCGTGCGATATATATATATATATATATATATATAAACTATGTTACATGCGTTATATGCGTCTCTAATTATTTTTCCCTAGCAAATTTCAATTGAACCTAAAGCTGCCACGTCAGTTTAATTGTTATGCTAATTGATTGACAACTAAGCAATGTTACTTTTTAATTATTACAAACTTGAGGTTATATCTTTTCAAATGTTTCTCAATTAATATATAGGGGATTGCAGTTCTCTAACACATACGCCTATGGGATTCGTCAAATGATATATCTCCGGCCTAACAGTTTTAGGTTTTAACAACACATCTGTCAACAATATTGACTTCTGGATGGAGACCAATCTGCATTCTATGACCTTCGCAATATCGAAACTTAAACAATGATAAACTCATGGCAAATATTTAAATATTTAGCAATTATATAAGTACCCAGAGCTAACATCATGACTTAACTTGCAAAACAACTCTTCCAAGTTTTGAAGCTAAATTAACGTTGACCACTAAACCACCATAACAAAGATATGTGTACAACCGAGGAATATTTTGTGTTGGATCCGAGAGAAGCCACATTCTCGGATCTCGCACGTCTTCTCTTCTCTTCGGATCTCAAGAACAGAAGGTTCATCGATTCTTCTGAAGAGAAGCTTGAGGATGATCTTTGCAGATTCCGGCGACGGTGGATCATCTTTGTATCCATCGTTATTCAAAAACTCATGACTCTTCTAAGGAAACCTCTCTACTATTTGGGATTCTATCTTTCTTTTTGGTTGAATCTTCTTTCTTCCAATGGTGGCTTCTTTAAGATCCTCCCAAATCTTTTCAAAGGTTAGATCTACTTTGGACTTCTTGTTTTAAACTAATTGGTGTAAGTTTTGTTAATTACATTAAACATAAAAGAACGTTAGAGACACGTAAAATTTCTTTGTTTACTTCGAAATGTCAAATGGAAACGGTGATAATAATAGACCAATAATTGTCGCTTACTATGAATTATTGTTCTTCACAAATGATCTTGCGTGACAAAGTTAGTAAGTTACTCTAAAGGGATTTTCTGCTTTATCAACTATCTCCCAAGTGAGAGTTTACCTACATATAAACGCAACTAAGGATCTCATGTGTTGTGCAACATGCCAGCGATTAAAAATTAAGTAAAAAAATAGTTGAAACTTTGTGTAACTAATATTACAGATTTTTTTGTGCGCAAAATCCGCTAGTTAAATATTGTCACCATAAGTTTGACATTTATATTATTGTAACTGTTTCAGGAAAGATTATCTGGCCGGAAAAAACATCAGCGACATTTGCATCTTTAGTCGCAAACCTAGACCGGCGAGTAGAGCTAGACGGGAGAATTGAGAGAGGAAGTAAAAGATACAAAGCAATGTTGTCAGTTATGGCTTCTAAGCTTTCTTACGAGAACACAAACTTTGTCAGCTCTGTTCTTCACAACCACTGGAAGGTTTAACTTTAAATAATAATCTCTTTTTTCCTTCATATTTTTCTCACAAGTCTCACTATCAGAAAATTCTAGGTTACATATCAATCACAATCAGTAATAGTTATGTTAGTATACAAAGTATAAGGTAATTGTTCTAGTAAATAAAAGGTAACAGTCAAGATTGCCATCGATGACTAGTCTAAAGGTACTTTCAAAGCAATTTCCAACAGTAAAATATACGTAAAGATAGGCAACTGCTGTCATTTAGCTGTATCTTAGTTTTGTCGAATTATTTAACTATATCATAAGAATGATCATGCATGATTATCTTTGAGTCAGAAATTAATGCATTAAAATAATTTATAAAAAGAGATTTATTATATATGGTTGACTTACTATCACTATTTGTTAATTTTATTACTGGAACAGATGGATTTATTGGGTTTCTACAATTGTTGGAATGGTGAGGAAAAATATATGACTCGATCTATACATGTCTTCATTCTCACTTTCTATAATATTTTACAAGAGTACGCCTTATTTATTTAATAATTTTTAGGATATTAAAATTTTACTTGTATCAAGTATCAAGAATATTGCCGACAATATAAAATATACATTATATATATATAACTTACATAATTTTGGTGTTTTTATTCAGAGAGTGACACTTTTTCTTGTTAACGGAAAGTGATATATTTGGGTTTCTTAGATTACCAGAAACAGAAGTCAACGGAGGTGATTGTTATAAAAGACACAAGCACGTATCCGAACCTCATCGTCGTCAGTTTCAGAGGCACCGATCCTTTTGACTCCGATGACTGGTGTACCGACTTTGATCTTTCCTGGTAAGCTATTTTTTCCTTTTGCTTAATATACATTTTTTTGGACATCGTTTCAATAAACTCTCCAAACGCAAATAATTGTTCTTTTAGTTCAGTTTACGTTGGAGTCTATTCAGTTTAGGTACATTGACTGGTTCCTCTAACTACACCAATGTTGATTTTCAATATAGGTACCAGATTAAGAATGTGGGAAAAGTCCATGGTGGATTCATGAAAGCTTTAGGCCTTCAAAAAGAAGGATGGCCTAAAGAAATAATATTTGACCAAACCCAAACAACTCAATATGCATACTACACTATTATGCATCACTTAAAAGAGATCATCGAACAAAACCCGTCATCCAAATTTATCCTGACCGGACATAGCTTAGGTGGAGCCCTAGCGATCCTATTCACGGCTGTATTAATGATGCATGAGGAAGAGCAGATGCTAGACAAGCTCGAAGGAGTTTACACATTTGGGCAGCCCCGCGTAGGAGACGAGGAGTTTGGAAAGTTCATGAAAGCTTCATTGGAGAAGTACGAGGTCATGTATGAAAGATACGTGTATTGCAATGACATGGTTCCTAGGTTGCCTTTTGACGACAAGACACTCATGTTCAAACACTTTGGGGCATGCCTTTACTATGACAGTTTTTATAGAGGAAAGGTTAGTTACAAACTATTATTTCTGTCCTTGTTTCTTTGAGATCACTAATTAGAGATTATTCGAAAAATGTTTTTTCCTAGCTTGTTCTGCACCCGTTCCGACCATTTGCGCACTTCCTTTACTGATGAAATTATATTCATTGATACTGTGTAACTATTATATGTTCAGGTAGAGCAAGAGGAGCCGAATAAAAATTACTTTAATATGTTATGGGCGATACCCAAGATTATGAACGCAGTGTGGGAGTTGATGAGGAGTTTCATCATACCTTATTGGAAAGGTGAAGAATACAGAGAAGGATGGTTCTTGAAGTGTTTTAGGCTTGTTGCATTGTTAATTCCGGGACTACCTGCTCACGCTCCTAATGAGTATGTCAATGCTACACTACTCGGAAACTTACCTGACCTGCACCTTGACTAGAATTTAATTGCATCGTTTCCATATTCTTTGTATAACTAGTTTGTCTCCATATTTAAATAAATGAAGATAGTGAAGCATTAATAAAGTGGATATTAATGTATTTGGAGATTGGACAATGTTTACAAATGGTACAACACTCACAAATATGGCGAAAGCTTAAAAACATTTGTACCAAAATAAACCAATTTATATTACAATATTATCATTTTAACATGCCAAAGAAAAACAAAATAAACCAACATGGAATTGTTCTAGTAAGTAATTCTGTAACATTTGATTTTTGGTTTTAAACTATTTTGGTTTATTAATATGATTTTATTTATAAGATGTGTATAAATTAAAAATAAAAAATTGAGTAACTAAAAACAAATTTAAAAAAAAAATTAATAATATTTTGTTAAAAACAACACAGCGACACTAAATAAATTAATAATTTAAATGTAAAGTTCTGGTCGCAAGCGACATTAAAACGAACAACCTAGCGACAAGTCGCGGCGACCAGTCGCGCGACATAGAAACGAACAACCCAGCGACAAGTCGCTGCAATCAGTCGCGCGATATATAAACGAACAACTATCAACGACATCATGTCGCAGTCGCTGGTCACTGACTCTGGTCGCTGATGCTAGCGACCAGCAAACGAACAGGACCTAAGACTATGCAATTGCATTCGGTGTCATCAAATGAGTTGCACCAATTACGAAGACGGATATTATGCTGGATTTTAGTCGTACCTCGTCTCTCGGAAGAATCTGGAGACAGGAGTAGTATGCGGTTAAGAAGAGAAAGTTGATCTCACCTCACTGGACGCTTGATTGGTTGGAGAGTATTGAAATCAAGCCAAAACTTCGTAATATTACATTATATTCACCTATCATCGCAGCCTCATTGCCTTTAATTATTGATAAGTCATTTTGAACTACTCCAAATCTGCTTAAACTATTTCTTTTTTATTACAAGAAGTTTTGGGTCGAAACTCTGGACTAGAGACAAAAGCCGGTTGGTAAATCTCATCGCCGTTGATTCTGAATCTCGAACTTCATACCTCTACTCTTCGGGAAAAAAAGTTTTACCAGTAGAGGTTTTCTAAACTTTGACACTTCCAGTGCAAAAACCTTATGGTGACCGGGTGATTGTGATCGAGTGGTAAAAAGGAGGGGTTGTGACACTAACATGTTTTAGCTTCGACCAATATGCTATGCGAAACTAAGTCACAATTATTCCTGGTCACCTAACACGGATATGAGCTCATGCTTTCAAGCCCATTTGAATATCCGGAGAAATGATCTATCCGGAGAAAAGATCTATCCGTGGGTTACACCTTCCCTTAGGGATTATTCTGGGCTTTTCCATTAGCCAGGAATACCCTAGATAAATAGAAAAAAAAGACCTCATGGTTTACTTGGTGGTCGAGGAAAACCACCGAACCTTGGTCTTGTTGTTAAGTCACTTTGGCTCCATTGGTAACATTACATAACTGTTTAGTTTCACACGGAAAAAAGTAATTAAGATATGGAAAAATTTAAAGTCTGCAAAATGAATTGTACGACTGTAAATATTTTTGCAAAATGGTTAAATACCTATACGAAATGAATTTTATTATATTTTATACAGTATTTTACCTATTATGAATATAATAAATATTAGTAATAAAACTAATTATTACAAGAAAGAAAATAAATAAACAGAATTACATATTATTAAAATAATATATTTTATATGATATTTCCTTCTAGCACTCTGCGTGCGAGACTATCCGCCTGTGAATTTAGTATTCTTGATACATAGATGATTGCTGAGCTGTGGAAATTCCTCTTAAGCGTCTTGATATCTTCCAAAGAATTTGCAAAAGCTGGTCATTCGTCTGGTTCCGACACCATCTTCACCAATTGAGAACAATCTGTTGCAAAAGTAACATGGTATTGACGCAAATTCCTTATACTCTCCATTACCCAAATAAGTGCTTCCACCTCAGAATGCAAAGGTGATAAACTTGCTCTAACATTTCTTGCTCCCATTAAATCCGCAAAATCTTCGAGTGTACTATACCAACCATGACCATCAAACACATCATTATCTTTCCATGAACCATCAATAAAACACCAACGCCCTGGTATGGACGGTATGGTCGCATCACCTCCTGACTGAGACCTAAATATCATTCAACACAAATATTAAAACTAATTAAATTAGTTATTATAATTATTATATAATCTTTTAAAATCATAAAATCAAGTTTTCATGCTGAAATTGTAAAAATGAATCTTTCGGTTAAAACCACAAAATCATTTTATTTCTTGCAAAAATTTTAAAATAGAGTTTTATTAGAAAAATTGAAAAATCAAATTTTCCGCCAAAAAATTGCATTTTCTTTTCAAAATGACAAAATTGCATTTATACACCAAAACAAAAAAAAAATGAGTTTTTCTATCAAAACCAAAAATGAGTTTTTTCTATCAAACCTAAAAAAACAGTTTTCTTGTCAAATTACAAAATCGAACCAAAACTGTAAAATTACATTACCCGTTAAAATCGAAATTAAGTATTTTGAAAAAAATGCAAATCAAGTATTTTCCAAAACCGTAGAATTTTATTTCCCGCTAAACTAAAAGTTAAATGTTTTTGCCAAAATAAAAAATCGTTTTCCTGCCAAATCCAAAACTTATATCTTTCCGCCAAAATTGCAAAATTGAACTTTTCCGTCAAAACTCTATAATAACATTTTTGGGTAAAATAGTAAATTGTGTTTTCTAGCCAAATTGAAAAGTTGGGTTTTCCCGTCAAAACTGTAAAATTATATATTCTTCCAAAACCGTAAATTGAGTTTTCTCAACAAAACTATATATCAAATTTTAGTGACTAAACCGCATAATTGTGTGTTTCCTACCAAAACTACATAATCAGATTCCTCATAAAACTGGCAAATCATGTTTTTCTTAAAATTAGGTTTTTTCGTAAAAATGACAAAATTTGTTTTTTGTCATAATGAAAAAATCAGGGTTTTCGTCAAAACGGCGAATCAGAATTTCCTCCAAAACTAAAACAGTTTGTTTTATTTAGTTAAAAATATAATTTGTTTTTATAAATCTCAATATCATAAGTAGTTCATTATTAATAATTACTTTCCTTTTAAATTGGTTTTAAACAGTTAGTGCTCAAATGCTATTATAAAATAAAAAAATGAACAATTTATGTCTAATTGTTGTATCCGGATGTAAATATTAACTACATAACTGAACAATGTTTGAATGCAACATCCATATATTGTATTTAAATATTGCATCTAGATGATGCATTCAAATATAAAAATGAACATATCCTTAATAGTTATTTTTTTTGTATTTTATGTAAGAGAAAACATAGATTTGCTTCTTCGCGTTTTTCTCCTGCAAATTTCTTTATGGTAAAATTTATGTGGAATTGCATGTTAAACCATGATTCAAAAAATTTAAATTTCCTTTTGTTTTTTTTTTTGCCATTGTATTCTCCTTTATTTTCTTTAGAGATCCCCAAAAATATCATTGTATTAATGATTCTTTTAAACAGAGTCATACGTTAGTATGAAATATAACATTGCAAAATTAGCATTTTCAATTAATTAAGGAAACCTATCAAAGTAATTACTAAATAGTCATTATTATCTAATAATCTAATTATATAAAGTAAACTTTTCCACCTTCTTGGGAGGCCACATTATTAATTCGGATAACCACACGCTGACATGTGAATTTGTGTTATTGATTTTCGTTTGGGTTATGTTTGAATGGGCTTTTTCTTCAACATCTTTTGCGTAACTAATGACCAAGCCCGTACAAAGAGTTCTTTTATGGGGAAGTTGTTAGATGCGAATCAAAACGTAAATTAGGGTTCATGTACTTCATCGATCTCTGACGTTCTGCAGCAATAGTGGAGTTTCGTGATGTTGAGTTAGACGAATCATCATGTAGAATCTCTGTATGTGGCTTCCATGGCGTCGTTTTATCTACGGTTACAAAAATCTGAACCGTCACGATGGTTTGATTCATCACTTTAACATACGACTTAACTCCAAAGCATGGCTTCAGGCACGATCTGACAATGAATGTGAGTCATCCCTATTCAAGGCGGTGTATCCTACACCTATAAAAAGGTTGGCCTTCTTATCTTGAACATCATCATCTAGATCCATAGAAACATTGAGTTATTTTCTGTATAATGCGAACTACTTGCCTGTTTGTGGTCCGACCGCTGCTCTGACCTTGCTCAGTTTCTGGAATGAAGCTGATGGATATGATCTCGGCCAACCCAACCCCGGTTCCTGCACTTTACTTCTTCATCTGCTTCTTCCACCGCGTCTCAGCCGTCTCCTGTAGCTGCACGCAGAAAATCCAAGCCAGCCATGTTGATGCAGATCCACGGTGATACTATAGATGTTGTCTTTTATGTCTGTAATCGTACTAAGTCCTATATCTTGCCGCAAATATAGAGACATAAAAATAAGGTGGTGCTTCTCTTTCTATCTGTGTATACACTTGAATATGCAATAGGAGGAATTAAAAATGCTTTTGTGTTGTTGTTTTGTATTATCAAAAAAGACAGAACTGTTAGTAAGTATAGGAACAAGATTCACTTATTAGTTGTTCTCCTTTGATGTAGTTGAACACACTTTTGTTTGTTTAAAATGACTTTTACAGCCAGTTTCATATACACATCTTGCAAAGAGTTTTCGAATTAGCTGCCACCATGGATCATGTTAAGTTTTTGCTATTATTATCTGCCTTTGAATGACTCTTCTGGTGTAAAATAATATATGAATTTGGCTGCCCAAAAGATTTTATTTGTATTTTGAGGGTTTACTGATTCTCATAACCTTTACAATATTTTTGTGTTTGATGTTGGTATGTAACAGTGACATCAAGGCTTTTGATTGCTTAATCTTTCTTCTGATAACTAAATACAGAAAATGATTGTGGTTTATCTCTATTGGAACAAATGTATGGTCCAAGGTTGCAGCCATGGAA